TTGTCTACGGTGGGAAATTTTTTCTTCTCATTCTGAGTTTAACATTGTTCCATCAAAAGTTCTAATTAACTTTCTATTTGGCAGTAATGATATCTCAACTGTGTTCATTCTCATCAAAGTTTCTGGACTTTTATGCAAGATTGGAAATATCTTTACTATAAAGACAATCCTATCTTCACTACCTTGACCACCAGGCATCACTCCACACCCTACCACTGTCGAGATAATAGTCAGCAGGAAAATCATAATGAGATTGGCCGGAAGTCCCGCCTTGTTTCTTGGAATGCTCGCTTTTAGCTAATAAAAATACCGATATTCTAGACACAGTTGAGAGCTAAATTGGAACTTTTTGCACCGAAGGATTCACAAGGTAATGGCAAATTCGCCACACTCTGGTAGCTTCGCCTTGGCAACTTTTTCTTGAGAACTGCAGGAATTTTGAACCGCTATGTTTCAAGCAAAATTCGTTGAAGGAAGACTTGTGAGAAACATTTGCTGGTACAAAGCACACGAGAACGATTGGTGAGGTCGAATGCATGTCGAATATTGAATGACAAGTAAATGCGTGGAAGAGACCCGTTGAAACAAATCCATCAGTAAATTCACCAAATAGCAAGTGGGGCTGCTTAGAATCGGTTCCCAGAATTTGATTACTGATATTACGACATGGAGTCGCAACTTTTCCAAAATTAGAATATTCGTAATCGGGAAATATCCCGAGTTACAGTTGTTGTTCCAAAGTGAAACTTGTAAAAAAAAGACCTGTACGACAAAAACGAAGCAGAACATGTGCCACTCAGAGTTTTTCGCAGAGAATATCGGCTAAAGCACAATTTGCTTTCCCACTGATTTATGATTTTTCGGAAGGCCTCTCACATTTTCTACGCTTATGAAATATCTCTTGTTCACGGGGCCAACCTGTAAATAGTAGGAATATCTAGAGAAATTCAGCGAAAGGATTGAAGAAATAAGATGGCATTGAAAATCCACCAATATTAAAAAGCGGGAGGAAAACGATATTTTAATCGGTGGTATGAAGAGCAACTCCATAAAGGCAATAAGTCTTGTCGTAACGAGCACAATTTCTACACTTTGTGGGAGTGGCAACATATTGAGATGAGCTAGCAAACTGCACGTTCACAAGACGGCGACCGAAGTGACACTGTGCAGATGGTTCCTTACTCATCTTTTCAAACGTTCCAGGCTCCTCTTCAAAGTAAGTGTACGTAACGTAGTCGATTTTCGTAAGTTTTACAGAGTTGTGCAGAACGAAATTAGTTATTGTCTGCTTGGTATAATGAAGTCTAGCTTGATTTATGGAACAGTCACGAGGCCTTCGGCGGTATATCTCACTTCTCCAGTTTTTTGAAAAAGGGATCGTTTGGAAGAACCGAAGTGCCGCAATATTTGGTCAGTTCGGCCCAAATCGCATCTTTAATTTCTGGATCGTTCAGTATACAAGTCTGCAAAATGTTTTAAGTTTTTTCAAGGTCAGTACGTTGCTCTGTGTTCTTAGCTTACGCGCGTTTCGGCTCTCAACACCAGAAGCGTTTCCGGATCAGTCGCCTCTATCATAGAGATAAGGCGATGAAAAATAGTAACTCAGCACATCAACTCTAAAAAGCTTGAAACCTTCCCACTGACTGTATACTGAATGTTGCAACAACCAGACTATAGGAAACAGTGGATAAAAGGGTTTCTGTATCACATAAACATAATCGATTTGTCATTGTTTTGGGATCGATATCCATACCATTGAAAAAGCTACTCTGCTTAGGAAAGGTTCCCCAAAACTAAGACGCTTCATGCACGAAGACTGTACCCATAACAGACTTCATGCATAACTTAGAAATAACTATTAGGCGCACTGAAATTTGAGCGAGGTCTCAAGAGACACTCGGAGCGAAAAGTGTGATATTTCACAAGTACCAGCCAAAAGCAATCGAGTGTACAACACTGCCCGTTTAGTAATTTTCATCACTTGATGCGCGTGTAATTATTATACTCTAGACTTTTCTCAATGAGGAATGTCTTCCCGTACAACCGGGTACAGTGCAACTGTTGAGGCAGAAAGGTTGAAACACGTGTCTTGCACTGTATACTCCATAACTTCCCCCATCATGCATAGCTCAAGAATAACTGTCAGGCAAATTGAAATTTGGCCGAGGTCTCACGAAACACGGGAAATGAAATTTAAACGAAAATTTCTGTTAAACGACGCTGCAAACAAATGTCGTTGCCTTCTTCATAAATTAGGCAGCTTTGATAATCGACTGCCTTTAATTTGTGGTTTCAGTTGTTCAAACAGGCAATGTGGTGTTCAGTAACATTAATAACTCTTCAACTGTCGCTAATAATTCGACGATTAGGTTCTAAGAGTTTATTCGTCAATTTGCACACGTACGACGACTTCGTGGGGTGCGTCATTTCTGCAAACTATCCGTTCAGGGTTTCAAAGGCAGAAAAATGCATTGAAAATATTTGACATTCACTTCTAGAAGACCTTATGTTTGTGGCCAAACCTTATTTTAATTTCGATATATTAACAATTTGGCCTACTAGCAATCAATCTGACTGTTTTTAGCCTAAAAGGACGTTGGTACGCCAGGGTCATACACCGGTGTTTCGGAGGCTCGTCCTCCTCGTCAGTGACCCCCGCCCCACATTAAGCCCTGCATTGTAGCAAGGAGGGAGGCGTATGTGGTAAGTGGTGATGGCATAGTGTACAATGACACTGGTCCATCACCATCAATCGATGTTTCGGCTGGTAGACCAAAACTAATCCATTGAATCGACTGTTTTTAAAACCTCGTTATAAATATTCAAAATCAAATCCAAAAAAAAGAATGTTTTTAGCCTAAAACGTGTCATTTAGCCTTTAACCAGTGTCATTGTACACTCTGCCATCACCACTTACCACATACACCTCCCTCCTTGCTACAGTGCAGGGCTTAATGTGGGGCGAGGGTCACTGACGAGGAGGATGAGCCTCCGAAACACCGGTGTATGACCCTGGCGTACCAACCTCGTTTTAGGCTAGAAACATTCTTTTTTTTGGATTTGATTTTGAATATTTATAACGAGATTTTAAAATTAGTCGATTCAATCAATCTGACTGTCTTGTCCCTTTTACGAATGACAAATCGAAAACGCCGTCTGCGCCGAAGAATCACCGGCCGTATTTTGAAGTTTTCATGATTGCCAAATGGAGCTGAATAAGGAAATTTATATTGTACACTTCCGCTTTGTAGGAGTTGTGTGCTATGGAACTTCCGTGTGGAAACAGTCCTTTGTCGCAAGAGCTTCGTGTTTTAACAGTCACTTTGTGGCGATTGAATTACTGAGCGAAAAGCAGTTTCTCTACAGGATTTTCCTGTATTTCGAATATGATTTGTACTAAATATGCAAATTTCAGCCAATGTTTTTGCAGCCCTGTTCGGTCAAAGATCGTGTGAATAGAATAGGTAGGTCATCTTGTTTGGTTGCTGCCTACTAGTCGTCAGGTCACTCAGCGTGGTTGGAGCCCAGTAAGAAGGGGCAACGCTGGCTTCATTCGTGCAATGCTTCACTCTACCCTATTCACCTTTATGTGGGGGCCTTATAAACCAAGATAATAAGAAAAAAAATTACTATGAACACGCGACTGAAATTACTGTGGCACTGATGAAAGCGCAACCATCGAAATTTTAACCACGTTAAATAATATTGATAGACGCTGCCTTTATTTGAAAACAAGATATCTCACAGAACATCAGCAGGCCTATTTGTGTGATTCCGGCAGCTGGAACGCGCATAGTGCTGCTCGCTTATTTAGATGAGTGCTCATTAGTGCTACGATATTTCCACTAGTGGATAATAAGAGAACTCCACCATCAATCCACCGAGCTGATATTGAACAGACGGTGACATGAACATGTTACCTGAAGAATTTCTAACTCAAGATTCCACAATCAAGAAAATAAAGTTTGTTCCAGTGAGCTGAGTCACATTCCACTTTCACGCATGAATGCGAAGATTCTCCTTGATCGGAAGGTGTTGGAGAGATCTCTCCAATTTGAACGTAAAATATTGTAGTTGTTTTGTTTACAAATGACAATTTGATAATATTGTCAGCAGTATTCAATCATCGGCTTTTTGTGAGAGATTAATGAGTGTTATATATATTAGACCTAAATAAGCAGCAGCTTGTCGTTTTGATTGGATTACGATAAGAAGTTTTGTCACAATACTCTCCTTCTGCTTTCATTACAACACGGTGGTGAGTAAACGAATTCAGCAAATAGGGAAAAAGTACCACAGCTATTTTTCTGTGGAATAAAGAGCGTAATGCCAGTGTTGAGTGTTTAAGCACTCAGACTATGTAGTGTGTAGTAATTTTTACAGCAGAAGCAATGCGACAACCAAACATTTTGTTATGATTAGTCTAGTCATTTTGCTGTATTTTGGATGTCAGTTTTCCATTAACCTCGGTTTTCCTGATCAAATTATCAATATAGAAAGTTTGCTCAACATTTTAGAGTGATCTAAACCTTGAACGCGCGCGGGGTTTTATATTTCACTCTTTCCGGAGTCTCGTGCTAATTAGAACACCGTTGGCGCTTCCTCAACCGTTACTCTTTATTCGACACAATTGCATCGATCTGTCTGCAGCCAACTTCCTACGGCTTGACCTGGTAGTCGATATCGGCACTCAGAAAGACGGCAGAACGAAAAGCCAGCATCAGTGGTGAGCCCTCTCGGAAGGGGTGAAATACGGATCCAAATCCTGTCAAATATTCGAAGTTTTGCAAATCTCTCAACATTACCGGATATGTATTTGTAACATCGTGCCACCGCTGAAAGCGATTGCCCTGAAATTCCATAGATAAAACCAGTCTGTGCTCGAAAACAGTACTTGATAGTAATTTTTGCAATTTTATCAAAATGGAGCTTCGAGTAGAATTTTTCAATTCTTATTTTTGAAAAATAGGTTGAAAAAACAAGAGTGGTCCGCAAAACGAGCGTCGGTAGTGCAGCGGTTCAGCACGCGCTGCCGAAAAGAGTGAGATGTGGGTTCGAAACACGGTTGATGCAAATGTTTTTGCACACCACTCTACATTATTATGCTTATTGTAACATCATGCCACCGCAATGCGAGGTCAAATAAAACGAATTCTGATTGAAAAGGAAGTTCAAAAAACTTTCAAAAACACTTCATATCACAAGGCACTCACGTTTATCCGTCCTTTTCGCAAAAATTAAACCGCTCTTGTCTATGGAATTCTAGGATGATTGAAAAGATTTATAGCTGTTAATACAGTAAAATTGTTGTAAAAAGCTATTAGAAATGTAATGTCTTGAATGGAACCACTTAAGCCACCCACTTGGAAAGTCGGAAATTCGACTTAGCAGTCTTATAGGTAGTTAGATGGGCGCTCTGATTGAGTTTTGATAATCTTCGCGGTGCTCGTGGGGTCGATCTCTACTCCCCAACACGCCCCGGCAATCAATAACGAAAGCCTTATGGAACGCTACAGTCGGGCTATTCTGGAGATTGCAAGGGACATAAGCTCAACCACTTTTCTACGACGTCTTGTAAAAAGACTAAAAGAGCGGTTGAATGTTAGTAGTACTGAGATCGGCGCAGTAAATACACTGGGAAAACGGCTGAGAAAGTGCTAAAAGTGCTTGACATATGGCGCAGAAGGCACAGCGACGACGATTTTAAGATTAGTAACAGTTTTGAGTCAGAAATCCAAAACAGCGATTAACTTGATGAAGATTTTTCAAATAAATTTTCAATGATATAGCGTTTTATCTTAGTTTAATCTTTCAGCTTAACTACGGTCAAATGTTGACAGTGTTTAGAAGTCATGAATGTCTTGTTTCATTTGATGAGTTCAATGACAGGCTTTAATTAGTCGGCGAAACCGTCTGCATAGATGTTCAAATTGAGTTTCGATTGCAATGGAAAATATTACTGAATGATCAGCCATGGTTTGTTTGTATACGTCGAGGTTCTGAAAAGGCGAAATCACTATAACGTCTATTATCTTTTCTCAAGAAATAAAAATCCAAGCGGAAAAAGGCCTCGTAACTTCATGTTGCCTAAGATAGTGTTTGCAGATGAGGTCTTTTGTTATCAGTGCAATTTGAGAATCTCTGCGGCGTTCTTGAAAGCGATAAATTTACTTTTACAAAGGATGCGAGGAAAAACTGCAACTAGAAAGGACTATACGCTGCAGCAGCTTCTTGTGTGCCACTATGTATAGCAAAATTTTGAGCAAGCTTATGATCATATAACACGGCATGCATCACTATGAAGGTGGACATGAGCAGAATTTATCGCATGGAGCTGCTTTCATCAAAAGAAACTGCTTATTGATTGACTTAGTGGAAGTTGGCTGGCAAGTGATAGTTGCTGTGTGGGATAAAAATAAACCTAGTCATCTCTTCTATTGTTACGAACAGAGTCGAATAAATGGCACATTCTTCAGTGTAAAAGTAGGTTTTCATACAAGTCTGGTAAATTCACCGACTCCGAAGAAATGGAACGTTTCGTTAGCCTATAGAGCGAGATCCAACCATAGAGCGATCGATCACGTGTGTCACAGGTCACCTCCAGACACTGCTCTACACATGCTCTGTTCTGTACAGTATCACCTAGCAATATTGTGTCTATTGTATTACATCATATTGTATTCTAAGGTATGCATTAGGCAGCGGTCAGAGATGTCATGCGATACGTACGCGCGATCATTTGTTCAATCCCGCTTCTAACTCTCACAAAGCTTCCATCCTTCTCGAGTCGTTGGATTAGTAACAGTCGTCTTCTGGAGAGCAATAGCACTGATGTAATATAATGATGGGCAACTATGAGGTTTTCTAAGGGCCAAATATGCATTTAATCACCTCGAGCGATGCTTGATGAAGCTGAATGCATGGCGCATCCCTCAAAGATCCTTTGACATTGAGAGCTATATCACCTATCCGTGTATAATATCATCTGAAGAGGCGTTTGGATTATCTATGCCCACGTTTACTGAGCGTTGGTTTGAAGAGAACGTCCATATTTGTAGCTATATAGTATTCAGAAGTATTCTGTTCTTGTAACGCGATAAAAATGCAAATGGTGAGAGTAGAAAGATTGGGTAAAAGTTTCAATACGATTATTAGTCAATCATAGAAATGTCTGTCCTACCACCACCACCACCTGACCGCTGATTAGTGAATGAGCGAGTGGCAGTTGTTCCGATCGCATAAGAAACCTTGTCTTTGTTCTTTCATCACTATGTTGGGTTGGCAAGAAATTTTGCAGATTTTTGCGCTTTTGTTGATTGTTTTTCACGCATTCAAGTTCTGTTCTTGCCGTCGCTTAGGCGAGCTTTTGCGGTTATTTTCATATAGCATCTTTATATTTATTCTAAGATGAAATTTTCTCGAGAGCAACAATGATAGTTGATACCACATGAATGTCGTTTGAGTTCAAGCACTACTTTGGCATGCAGCGATACTCATCTAGCACCAACAATCGTTTTTGCGTTTAGGACAATTTCATTTTGAAACAAATGTATAAGTGTTATATGCTGAAATAACCACAGCAAGCTACTCTAAACGATATAAAAAACAAGCACTTGAATGCAAGAGAGGTAATCAACAAAAACGGCAAAGTCCAAAAAAATTTTCCGTCAACTCAGTGGTAGAGATCAAGCTGGGATTTGTGTTGGCATGTCGTCTTTTCCCGAATACTCACGAATAATCATACTTAATTACACGACCCGTTATCAAACGTTTCCTATGCGGATCCCATTACTTCTAGCATTCAGTTCGTTTTTCTTCTTTTAGAGTGACGTAGAATACTGATTGAGCACGTCTCCTCACAATGGCAAGGATAGCTTGGCTGTGGCGTTCCATAGGGCGTTCGTTGTTGAAAGCTACGACGAGTCTCTACCACTCGGCCACAGCCTCCCCAATTTATGGTAATGGGGTATTGAAATAGTACATTGTTCCAATTGAGATTAAGTATTTTATTGTGGATTTGATAGATTTGTGGAGGAAACTGTTCTATAGACAGAGCTAATAATTTCACGAAACAGTGCAAATTGAGTTTGTTTAAACCCTGAATTTTCTAGGAAATTGATGAATATTTTGATTTTCTGGTGCTGGTTTAGTGATTGCTTTTATTAGCGATGCATTTCGACACATAAGTGCGTTCTAACTAATGAGATCTCAAAAGTACACTGTATGTTGAGGTCTGTTTGTATGGACTTGGAAGACGAAGTTGTGTATTGGTGGGTGAGGTAGCGCAGTGGCCAGTTATGCATCATATCAGAGAGCGACTTAATGAGCGATGAACTTGTTCGATGCCCTTCTTCAGTACTCTACCGCAAACAGTCGACGTACACTTCGACACGGCTTCCTCCGAGATCTCAAGGAGAATGACCTCGTCTAGAATTCTGCCATACTCATAGAGAAGACGAAATCTCCAAGCAGCAACCAAGCAATACGTGAAATCTTCGCAAAACTTCGTGGTAGATGATTAAGAGAAAACGAATTGAATGCAATAAGGCAGTGAATTACGGGGACAGGTCGTTCAAAACAGAAACAAGCAAATAATTTTTGAATCATGTGGTTCTGGATGCGTTGTCGAACAGCACTTCTATTTGTCCTTGCCTCCCTTGACATGTTTTTTTTCTTTGTTTGCTCAAGATTTACCCCTTCGGTATCTTCTATACTGTATTAAGAGATGTCAGGAGCCAAGCGGCTTTACGTTTATTGTGTTTCACGTGAAACAGTGGTTAAGGGTGCCTTGCAACAAGGATGTGGTGGTAGTTTGATCCCGTGCTCAGTTCTCAGCAGGCTTTCCGTCCCTCCGAGGTCGGCGAATCACTATAAAACTCCCTGAGAGGAAAGCTGCACAGACTTTATGCATCGGTAGGCTACCGAGAGCAGTTGTAAAAGCCAGGTATACTCTGGAAGCTTCAGCCTTTCATCCCCTCATAAGACATATACGAGGATTTATTTTGGAACCTCTAGTTATCGACTCTTTGCTCTTGTTGAATTTTGATACCACTATTCTGACTGGTTGATCTCCCTTTCTTCCTGAGTACGGAATGTTCTAGTTTTGTGGATGGCTTGATTTACTTTGCATGCCTTAAGCTTCCGACTTCAAGGTGGTTTTGAAATGTTTGAGTGAATGACTTTTTGATCTGAGTAGCCACAGGTGGAGTTCATTAGCATCAGTTTTGCAGAGTCTGTTTGAGTGCTTTAGGTGAACGTCACTCTTTATGACTTCCATCACAATCATATTTGATGACTTGCCCACAAGTACCATAAGACTCTGTAATCAGTAGTTCAATTATTTGGTGCTTGATAACATTATAAGTAACAGCTAAAGGTCATGCAAGTCAAGTTACGGCGGCTTTACGTCGTAAAGACTTTATATAATCTGATTACATATTTTGAGCCTTTCATGAGGTCTGTTACGGCACTTATATAATGCAAGACGCGTGTTTTAGCCTTATAGCCTCGTCAGTTGCTCGGCTCGGTCAGTTCATGGGAAGACATTACTTCTTAGAGGAATCAGCGCTGAACTATTTACGTTTGCCGCAAGCTGATAAAATCACCCAACGAGTAGTGTACAGTCGATTGCTTGAGGCTGGTAGAACGTATACTGTCATACCTTTCCTTTCGCCGTTTTTGAGTTTCTGCTCAAAACAGTATAAACTCATAACATATTTTGAACCTTTCATGAGGTCTGCCATGGTGCTTATGTAGTGCAAGATACATGTTTCGGAACTTGTTGAGCCGAAAGGCACCTCGCAAGTGACAATGCTGTAAGGACCAAAACATGTCTTGCATTGTTTAAGCGACCTAACCGTCCTCATGAAAGGCTCAATACATGTTAAGAGGTCCGATTATTTTGAGTGAGGTCTTAGAAGCACTTGAAGTGAAAGGTATGTTAAGTATCAATTTCATGTTTGCAGTGAGCTAGCTAGTAGCTATTTCAGGATATAATCCTTAGTAGGTAACCCTGATGCTACCTCATAAATGTGGGTTGACAGTGGAAACTATTTTACTTGTAACAGAGCAAA